TATTATTATTGCTTTTTATTCTTTTTTATTATTTTTTATTAAACATTCTCATATGACAAAAACCTGTTTTTAGCTTCTCACCTTATTAAATTTGATGTATATTGTAGGGTTTGTGACTTATTAATACAAAAAGTTTGAAACTTTAGCTTTAATTTCACATTAAAATTTTAAATTATTTATTTATTATTATTATTGCTTTTTATTATTTTTTATTATAAGTTCTCATCTGGTAAAAGCCTGCTGTTAGTTTCTCACCTTATTAAATTTGAAGTTTTACTCTCATCTTATATTATGACACTTTTACCTCTTCACCTTACTAAATTTGTAGATTTTAGCCATTCACCTTATATTATGACACTTTTAGCCCCTCACCTATTAAAATTGAAAAAAATAGTCCTCATTTTGTAACATTTTGTTAGTTTTATTAGCTGACTGTTAATTTATTATCAGTTGACAAAAATCTTCTTTTAGCTATTCAGCTAATAGAGTTAATAGAACTAATTTTATAATATTTCGTTAATTCTATTAATTGATTATTAATTAACTGTTAATTGACAAAAATCTACTTTTAGCTAACAGAGTTAACCGTCAGTATAAAATGAGAGTTATTTTCTTTGATTTTAATAGGTGAGGGGTTAAAACCCACAATTCTAATAAGGTGAGGGGTTAAAAGTATCATAGTATAAGGTAAGAAACTAAAACCTTCAAACTTAATAAAATGAGGGGCTCAAAGTAAGTTTTTGCCTTCCCATCTAGGTCACTTTGCCATTTGGTTGTTGTTGTTCCCTTCCAACATCACCCGACTACCCGAGTACACTTTACCACGAGCTGCAGAAGAGGCAGGGCTGGGCAACATAGCTGGACCCAATTAGTGGCCTGGACACATACCAGTTTGAAAATGGGCCTATGGTTCAGTGACGACGGGCTGCGGCCCAAAGCTTAAGTGGCAATATTTCTAGGGGCGATTTTAGTGTTAACACTTGACAGTAGAATGAACTTCTACATTGAATATTTTAAGTTAAAATTTTAGGACTAGTGGTGAGGAGTTTTGGGTAGATAATAACTATTTTCTATTATTTAACTTATTATTAAAAATAAAAAAAATGAAAAAAAGACTTTTGTCCACAAGTTTAGTGCTGGTATTGCCAAAATTGGACATGTGAACCAATTAGCAATTGTTTAAGTTGTTTTTTTTTTTATTTAAATTACATATTTTATTGTTTTATATTTGATATGATATTTTTTTTCACTCAACAAGTATGCAATTAGTAACAGTTTAGTTTAGGCTCATGATTAGTGATGCCCTTCCAATTACTCTATTGCAGATTTGTAGTTGAATAGCTCTTGATTTTGACACTTCGGACTGCACTGCACAATAAACAGAAACTAATAGATATGAAATAGTTCCAAACATTAGAGGGCTCACTCTTATTATTTAATAATTTTAAGTTGTATAGATTGCATCATACAACATAATTTTGATTTTTTTAATAGCATTTAAATACTTAAATGGACAATAATTTCATTTTTATGTCGTTTTTGTTACGTTAAACCAAAGCAAATAACTTTGGAATTAGATTTTTTTTTTTATCACTTCTTTAAACACTTTGTTTCTTGAGCACCTTACAAGAATAACTTAAAAACCCTTTTATTCAAATTCTTTGCTTTTACTTAACATAAAAATAAATAATAAACTCTTTGCTTCCTTGTTCAGCTAAAAAAAAAAAAAATTCTTTGCTTTATCAGTTTCTCTTCATTCCAGACTCTATCTTCCCAGCATAAAACATCTTTAACTTCAAATTAGTTTTTCCTGCTAAAAATCTCCTACTTCCCATAATCCCCTTATAAGAACAGAAAAATTGTGATCTTCTTGTTCGAACTGAAGCACCTCTCTACTCGCATTTGGCTGTGATTTAGCATTCAGATGTAAAGCTAAAGCTCAAGACTAAGGTATGTACAAGACCATGCTATATTTATGTTTCTTATATATGTTTACTTTAGAACATCTGGGATCTGCATTCTTTTTGTGAATATTCAATATTAATTTGCTTCGAAAGCCAAAAAAAAAAGAAGAAAAATTAATTTGCTTCTTCTCAAGATTTGCCACGAAATTATATTACCCTCTTTATTAAGGATCAAAACATAATTATTTTCGATCCACCTAAGGAACTGCTTCTTTTGTTATTATTTAATTGACGTTTTATGTAGTTTCACACTGTTAAGAAATCAAATTAAAAGAACTTAAATTAAAGTTACAAATTTACCCCTTTGATGTCAACACCAATTCAAAAATAGAGCCTTCAATTAATGGGTCGGAATGGGTACGCAAATTTAGAAAATGAAAATTAATGATCTGTTAATTATTTATTTAAATGCAGCAAAAACACTTTAAACGTTAATTAAATTGAAAGAGATGGAATAGAGTGATTAGAGGTAAATGAATAATGAATTTGTTTAACTTTTAGGATATATAGGTTAAGGGTAAATTAATTGTATATTTTATCAACTGATTTGTATTGAAAACTAAAAAAACCAACTTTATTTCCAACACCAATAATGAGACAAATATGTTCAATTTTAATTGAGTGACTAATAAAATTAAAGTCAATTTTCTTTTAATAATTATTGAGAAAATTATATAACTAATGGATATTGATACGTACATCTTGTTTCATTACACACTCCGTTACTTACTGATGGTCTCCATTATTTAATCCGTTATATACTGATGGTTCACAAAAAATGAACTACTATTATGGGCATAAAAGTAGAACCTACAAAGCTCCAAATGAAAAATTGATTGTTTAGAATATAGATCAATGTCTATTGAAGACTCAGACAAAATTTTAGCTCAATCCAATGGTGAACTTTTGCAAATCGGTTAAAATGATAAATCTGTGCACAATACCAAAACTATAGAAAAACATATAACAAAAAACGAGTTACTTTTCTGGGCATAAAATCAAAACCTACAAAGCTTCAAACAAAAAACTGACTATTCAAAATTTAGACCAATGTCTCTTGAACACTCAAACAAAACTTCAGCTCAATCCAATGATAAACTTTTACAGATTGGACAAAATGGCAAAACTCTGCATAGTACCAAAAATGCATAAATTTCCCCTATTTTCTTTTCCTTTTTCTACCGATCGGCTCCAATCATACGCACTCCACTTTCTGCTATATCATCCCAAAAGCAAACTTGTTTTATGCCTCTAAAGTCGGAATAGCGAGAGGGAGAAACGAAAGGAGAGAGAGAAAGAAAGGGCTGGGTGCATTTAGGGAGTTATGAGAGAAGTGTGTAATGGATTAAGTAACAGAGACCGTTAGTATGTAACAAAGTTAGGTGTTTGTATCATTTTCCTATAACTAATACATTCTTAACTTATATGTGTACCAAAAACTCATGAATTATTTCAAGCCATAATTATTTTATTTTTAAGGTGTGTTTGCTATGCAAATGAATTAAAATTCATTTCATTTGCAAATGAATTTATTTACAAATAAATTCTCAAGTCTTAAAAATTTTAAGTGTGTTTTGTTTATATAAAAATATAATTCATTTCATTTTAAAAATTAATTCACCAGAGAATTCATTTTGGTATTCATTTATAACTGAATTCTTATGCTTGGAATAATTCATGAAATTGAAGAATTCAATTGAATTTCAAAATGATTTTTATATTTAAATAAATGTAGAATGAATTTATTATTCAATTTTCAGAAAAATACCGTTATTATTTATGAAGGAGAGTGATATAGTTTTATAATTTGAGAGGTACTTTAGTAATTTAAGAGCTTGAGTTGAAGTTCATTTTTAAGTCCCATCAAATTAAATTGATGATAATGGAATTAGTCTTAATCCATGATTTAAAAGCTTAGAATTGAATTCTACATGTTTTTTAATTAAAACAAACACAAGGAGAATGAAGTGTAACTAAATTTCACAATATTTTAATTCAATCAAACACAGTAGAATATAATTGAAATCATTGAATTCAAAATGAAAAGTTTTTTAATCATACAAAACACATAAACGTTGAATTAGAAATAAATTATATATATAAATATGTTTTTGTAAAATTCATTTATGCCAAATACACCCTTAATTTTTTTTAAGGATACTTATATAATTGTGTAACCAAAAATGAGAGAACTACAAAAGCTGAGAGAGTTGTAGAATAGCAGCTGACCAACAATTTCATGCCTATTTGTTTTGGGTTCAGCGCTTTCGGATGTCTAGTGTTTGCGTTATTTTACTGTGCACCACGTTACTTTGGATCGATTTTTGGCACCGACTCCCAATATCAGTACTGTTGAGTCGGAGTTGCCTAATTTCAAACCCTTGGCTTGTTCTCCATTCCAAAGTCTCTTTATCCTTCTCCACCTAGCATAAATGTTTTAAATATTTAATTTTCCCCTGCTAAATCTTCTTGTTTCGCTCTTCCCAAAAAAGAGAAAAGCAAAGTGCTCTTGTTCAAAAGCATCTCCACTCAGAGTTACCATTTCAGAAGTATAGCGAAAGGCAAAGGTATATTTATTTACTTTATTTTATTTTTTTACTTCTATTTTTGTTTCTTTTGGTTAGGAATAGCACACAGCACAGCTAAAGATAAATATTTTTTTAGCATTGTTGAGTTTGAGCTGCCTAACTTCAAATTGTTTGCTGCTTCTCCATTCTAAATTCTTTTTAAGAGTTATTCATATTGTAATACAAATTATAAAATGGAGATTATTAAATAAGATAAGATTCTCAATATTAAAAACACAATAATTTTTCTTTTATTGCCACAGTTTGTCCTTCTCTTTATATCTTTTTCAAGCTAGCATAAAACTTTTGTAATCTTTGGGATGCTTAATTTTTCCATTCTAAATCTTATTCCTTTCAACTAAAAAAAAAAAACAGAGAGAGAGAGAGAAAAAAGAAAAGGGGGACAGTCTTCTTTTTCAAAAGCAACTAAAAAACTTTTTTCTGGGCTTGGCCATCAGATAAAATGTTTCAATTTATTTGGCTCTCTTATAATTTTGTAAAGTAGAGAACTCTATTTTAAAGTTAGTTTTTTTTTAACTTATATCTTAAGATATAAATTAAGAGATTTGAAAAAAATCAAAATTTATACTTAATTTATTAATTATCTAATTAAATTTATTTATATTATAATGATATTAAAATTAATTTTAATTTTTATTTTTTATATAAATTTATAATAAAAAAAAACTCTTAATTTATGTTCTAAAATCACATATTGAAAAAACACTTTATAAGCAGTACTATTTTTTTTTTTAGGAAAATAAGTAGTACTAATTAAAATAGTTATATCATTAAGTTTTGAGTCGCCTAACTTCAAAGTCTTTGCTTGTTCTCCAATCTGCTTGTTCTCCAATCCGAGGCCCACCATTTCTTCATCCTTAATTTCCACCATGGAAGCTTCCTCTTTTGAAGATATCTAGAGGCTTTACATATTTAATTTATTTACTCTTTTTGTCCATTTTATTTGTAAAAAAACATATTAATAAAGATATAAATTTTGGTTATTTTTATTTAAAATACGAATTTTGTTAATTTTTAAATAAGATAATAAATTTTTAACGTACTTTTTTATTTAAAAATATCAATTTAAGTTTTTTTTATTTAAAAATTAATTAAATGGTGATGCTGATATGTTAAATGGCTTTTTTAACAATTCAATTAAATATTAATTAAAAAATATAAAGTTGACATCTTTAAATAAAAAAACAAAAAATTAACATTTTTAAATAAAAACACAAAATTAACATTTTTAAATAGATAATTAAAAATTTATTGTCTTATTTATAAACTAACAAAATTCACATTCTTAAAGAGAAAAATAACAGAATTTATATCTCCTTATCTATACCTTTCCTTTTAATGTCACAATATATATTTTTAAGTGATAATTTTTTTATAATACCAAGTATATATTTAATTTATTTTATAAAAAAAATTTAAATTTTCATTGATACACTATAGGGATCAATCTTAGCCACAACAACACACTTCTTCGGCCCAAACAATTCTAGCGCGACTAATGGAACAGGTTAATGCATCACTATATTATGAAACTTGGATCTCTATAAGCTTGTTTAGGGCAACATCTTAGCCACGCAACAAATTTCTTACTAACAAAAAAATTTGCCCTACGCAATGAAACAGGTTGCAAGTTTTCCCCTATTATGACAATTTATTGGATTTCTACCAGCCTGTTTTCAAATACATATAATCGAATAATAAAAAGGTATTTTTACCAAAAAAAAAAAAGAAAAGAATAATAACAAGGTACATCAAAGCAAAATCTTGTGCCAATGAATTAATAAGGCAGGCATCCTAAACAATGTCTTCTACTTGCAGGATTGCTTGGATAAAAGCTGGTGAAATCGTGTTCACTACTATGATGGCCACACTTGCACTTGAACCTTCGCTACAAGAAAAATGATTTTTAGTGATAAAAATTTGTGATGAATTTTAAAATCATCACTATAATTTATCATAATTGTGATAGATCTAAAAAATTAGTCATAGATGCATACATATTTAATGATGAATAAAAAAATTTATCATAAAGAATATATTTTGTCATCAAAAAATGTTCATAGAGATAAAATAAGTTTTTGTCGATAAAAAATCATCACTATAACGCATTACAATTATGACAAATTTCTAATATTGGTCACATATACCTTACACATTCAATAATGATCAAATGATTTATCACTAAAAAATATATTTCGTCACTAAAAATTATCAATTTTCTCTAATCAATGCATCCCATATCGATAAAAAACACATAAGAGAATAAGGTTTTGCATTATAAATATATCCCACATCAATAATAAATATTTAAGAAAATAAATTTTTACACTATAAAACATGTGAAACTCAATAAAACTTGAGATTAGTTTGGACCTGATTAATTTTAATTAGGTTTGATTAATTTTAATCAGGCTTGATTAATTTTAATCAAAATTGATTAATATTGAAGTAATAATATTTTTTATTAAACTTTTGTGATAAATTTATATATTATTTTTTGTGACAAAATTTTTGTTAAAATATTTGTATTGTAATTATATAAATATCTTTTTTATTTAATATCAATTTTAATAATTAATGACTAAATTTTACATCATAATTGCATTTGTGATG